GCTCATTTTTGGTACGGAGGGGTGGGACGGGATGTTGCTTTTCCCGTTGCTCCTAACCGCCCCCGTCTCCAGTCGCAGGGCTGGCCCCCGCCAGCTGCAACGTGCTTCAGTTCGGTTCAATGATTAAGCACAAGACCGGGAAATCGGCGCTGTCCTACAACTCAGCCGCTGGATGCGACCGACTGGTAAGTCGGGGCCTGGTGCAAGCAGAGCGGGTGCCCCCAGCCCCCTCCTCGCCTCCCTCGCCCCGGGCGCAGCGCAGGGAACGCTGGCCCCGGGAGCCGAGAGCGCAAGGCAAAAAAACCATCGTCCTTAACACCTCTTTAAAAAAAAAAAAGCTGCTTTGCGGCAGTAGCGGGCGGGAGTGGCGTGCAGCAGCGTTTCTTCCGCCTTTGTAGCGACGGGCAGAAACGCATCGGGCTCCAACCAGCACCCGGGCTAATGGCAAGCCGCCGTTAGACGTCCAGCAAAGGCCCCGCAGCAGAGCAACGGGAAAGCAGCGAGCGCGCTGCGCCGACGATGCCAGAAAGGCGCGAGTCACCCTCCCTCGCTCCCATGGCATGGGCACTCGAGCGTGAGGGCAACGCCGAGGAGAACATGGCTGCGGCATGACCCGCCAGCAAGGGCGAGACGTTCCTCACGGGGGCCGTGCGCCAGCAGATGTTCAGCACCGTAGTATCGTCCCCATGGCTGCCCGTCCTGCCCTGACCACAACCCTTGTGCTCCCAGGTGCTGCCATGCCCACGACTGCTGCTACAGGAAGCTGTCTTCCCCCCGCTGCAGTCCCAAACTGGTCACGTACAAATACTCCACTCGGAGCAGCCAGATAACCTGTGGTAAGAGACGGCGTGGGGTCAAAGCCCCCGGCGGGAAGGCACAACCACAACGCTCTCTTCCAAGATACCCTTTAGACCATCCTGGCTTGGAAACCACTCACTGGGAAGGGGGTGGAAATGAGGGAAAAGTGCCAGGAATAGGGCAAACATATATTTACTAGGACTATGGTGAAGTTTAGAGCTTGGAGACCTCCCACAGGAGGGGGCTTGGCCTTCTGTAGAGGCCAGATACTGAGGGTTTGAGGTGACCCTCCCGTCTTGGATGGGGACCTGGCACTGCCGCCGCGATTTCCCCAGCGCAAAGGCTGCCGTTTCCCGGCGAGTGGATCAAAACGAAGCACTTCCCTGCGGTCAAAGCAAGTATCTATACACAGATGGGTAGAGAAAGCCAATTAAATGGTGCCTCCAGGGCCACGCGTGGTTCCTAGCCAGGGAGCTCCATGCACCAGAGGCAAGAGGACTACCCGAGACCGCCCAAACTCAACGCGGGGGGCTGCGTACGCCACGGGGACGGTCCAGAAGATGTCCCCTGACTCCAGCCCCCCTCCCAAATTTTCTTCCAGGTTCTGGGACTTGGTGCCAAAGACAGAGCTGCGAGTGCGACAAGCGCGCGGCAGAGTGCTTCCAACGGACGGCCCGGACCTACCGCAACTCTTACAAGAATTACCCCAATTTACTGTGCAAGGGCCCAACTCCCTCCTGCTAGACACGCCGGGCTCGAATCCTGACGGAAATGGTCTAAAATGGGGGGTTTTGGCCTTTCCCTGCGGCCGGGTGGGGCCCGGCCTTGCTGCACCCCAAAAGGCCTCCAGCACCTTTCCCCCGAACTGGTGCACAGGGAAAGCCCCCCTCCCCCCGATTAAATAAATCCTAAAAATGAGGGTATCCCTACAAATAAAAATAAATTTTCAAAGGCAATTTGTAAAGCGCATCCAGCATCGTGTTCGTGTTTCAGGAATCGGTGGTGGAAGGGGTAGGAAACAGCACAGAGTTTCACGGCTCATTTTCTGAAGCAAATATTTATGCATGCAAATAGTTTTGCATCTTTTTCTTAAAAAACATTTACCAGAAGGGACATTTTAGCAGCCAACCCGTATAAGAACTTTGGAGAAAGAAAAAAAAAAACCCCAAACACAAAACCAACATCAACAGAACCAGCACATGGCTGCCACACCCCAACCCCAAAGCCAGCTCCCCTCAGGGAGCTCGGCTGCAACACAGCCCTGTCCCGCTCCTAACGACTATTTAAGCAATTAATACTCACTAAAGCCGTGGGGGAGCACAGTGGCGGTGGTCTCGGGGGTTTGGGGTGGCTCACTCTTGCACCCCATCTCCCGCAGGCCCTGGCAGGGCTGGAGTGGGCCAGGCAGGTCTCCTCAGGCTGCTCCTGCACCATCTCCTCCCTCACTGCAGCTGCAGGCGATCTGCAATTAGCCCTAACGAGCTGGGGCCAGCTGGCCCTCAGGCCCCAGCCACCTCCAGAGAGGTGTTCTGCACACCCCCAGAGTGAGGGCTCCTAAAATAAACGGGTTTTAAGGGGATTCTCTTCGAGTTTCACTTCAGCATTGGGGGCTCCTACCTGACTCCCATTAAGTCTTTCACCAGGAGCGAGATCCCTTCCCCACGCTTCCTACAGTAAATGTGGTGTCTTTACACTCCCAAAACACTCATCTCTCCTTTTCACACGTTTTCCAGTGCCTCGTGAGGGCTTTGGGATGAGGGCTTTGGGATGAGAGCGAGCTGATGAAGCTGATGCTGCTCTCTAAGCTTTGAGCCTGCAAACAGGCTCTGCTCCAGGCAGTGGCAAGGATCAGCACGAGCACAAACCATCTCCATTTATACAACGCTGGAACACAAACACGAAGAATGACCCAATTCCCCCTGCTTTCAGCAAAGTTTCTGACGCTAGCAAAAGCCGGCAGGTGAACGTAGACCCCGGGAGCCAGATCGCATCCCCAGGAACGGTTCAAGTTGTGCAGACTCATTAAATCAATCTGAAAGTTTTGCCTTTTAACCCACAGCACGCACAGTACACACAACTCCATTCACACAGTTCAGCTGGTGCATCTTTGCCACCTTTATTGCACTCAGAATCCAAAACCAGAGGAGTTTGGGTTTGGTAACCACAGCGCGTGCCCTGCTGAGAGTCCAGAGCAGGGAAAGGAAAAGAAATCTCTCGTGTAGTTTCAACAGACTCCAACAGAAAAGGAATCTGAGAGCACTGCAGATGTGGATACCATGGGTGACATGACTTCTGACGTTCAGGCACTGCAGACGAGGTGAAACTGTTGTTAAATAAACCAAAAGGGAATGGGGAACCCCAGAAACCGAGCAGCGCAAGCAGAAAAGCCCTCCTACACATGGCAAGGCCAAGACATACTTAGGGATATCAGGCAGAACCTGGCTAAATGCTTAAAGCTTCCCCTTCAACTCAAGTCCATCCTGCAGGTGCAGGATTTGGGAAAAATAAGTTTGAGGAAGATGATGGTGGTAGGGATGCAGGGAAAGCAGCTTTCTACGTTGCCCTGCTGCGTACTCGCCTTCAAGAGGCTGACAGTGCCGGTCCGGCAGCAGTTGAAGCACACTCCTGGCCCCCTGCCCACTCGTGACCCTCCACGAGGGAACAACTAGGTAATCCTCCTCAAACACCAAGGGAACGTGCAGCGCTCCCTGTCCCATGATCACGTATTACAAAGCGCGGTTAGCCCCACCAAGGAGTAAACACAGGCGATGAATCACGATGTTTCTCTTCTCTTGTTTCTCGCCTCCCTTCCTCCTGCAAGGAAAATCCATGACCTGTTTGCAAAGCAAATTTTCTGCGTAAAAGCGAGTTCCCTGAGGAAGGCTGCACAAGGATTCCCTAGAAAAAATACACATCATAAGGGCAGGTGGAGATTTCAGCAGCTAAAGGAAAAAAATTCTAAAAACAGACAAAATGAAAGTTTTAACACCTTTGGATAAAAAATGTTTGTGCAGACACAAAGCTATCCTGGCAAAATCACAGAGATTTTGACTGGTCTAACGAGACTTAAGAGCCTGGCACATTAAGAGTTTGTTTTAATCATACTACACTTGGAAATTAAAGCATTTTCGGCCACAGATTTGTTACAGGAATCAGAGGCCATGAGCTGAAGGTCAGCCTCTCTCTCTGCTCTTTACAACCCATTGCTGTTGCAGGCCTGCCCGTTTTATCCTGGACAGGCTGAGGTTGGGTTTTGCACATCCCTTCACACCTACAAAAGCTCAGCTTCCTGGCTGCTGGCTACAGGACAACTCCCTTCACAGCTCTCCAGGCGGGAAGCAGCAACAATCCTTGTTGTATATCCTAATAATACCAGCTCTGGCTCAGAAGACAAAAAAGCAATTTATTAAGATCAAACAACAAAGACCATAGTGTACAGCTGCAAATTCTTATTATCTTCTCAAACTTGCAGAACACCCCTGCCTTTCAACTCGAAATGCAGCTGGGCAAGACAAAGGTGGCACATTTCCCTGAACTACCTCGCTACACCCACCGTCTTCAACCCCTCACAGCAGGGAAGTGACTTGCACTTTCTCCCCACTAAGCTACGACTCGCTGTTCTATCCACTACTGTAAAAGTGACTATTTTTGGGAAAAAGCATTCCAGGAAGTAATGCTGCCAACAACAGGCCATCTGAAAATTGGCATAAAATGGATTTTAGCAAAATCATTTTTCACTTCAAGAATAGTACTGTGAATTGAAGGCTCATCCTACCTGTGAAATACCGTTTCGATTTCCCTCCACAGCAGCTACCTGTGCCTACCACTGGCACTCAAAGCAGCCCTTCACACACTGCTTTGCCTAAAAGCCTAAGAGCTGCTTTGTATTACTTTTTATTTCCACCAACCTCATTACAGGAACCAAAGGAACTTCTTCACCAGCATTAAAGCCTGTTCTACACCACCAGGACTTAGAGCTCCTTTCTTTTTATTCTTCACATGCTCTTGATAGAGTAGCAGAGCTTATGAAAAAGTACTAGCTCAGATCTTGGCAGTTCAGTCAAAAAAGGCATTTATATTTCTGTGCCGATTTGGAAACTTCAAAGAACGCACAGAATTTTTTCAAAAGTAACACTCCTTACTTTCAAAAAATCTATTTTGTCTCTGCCCTGGCTGATGAGGTGTCTCCTGTTATCTATTGTGTGTGTAAGTGCACATATGCTTTCGTCAAGCTCAGTGCTTGATACTAGTCCAAAAATCTGAGTGAAGCTGAAACACTGCAAGGCACAAATCGAGGGCCAAGTCCCACAGTCCTCACACTTCAGGCCAAATTCCCAATTCTATGGTGGATAGCATCACAGAATTCAAGCTGTACATTCTACAGTACCTGGTGACGTTACCGAAGGGGAATTTAAGATGAAAAAAAATCCTATCCTGGAAAAAGCTTGATTTATGAAGAGTGAAGTAGGCAGGGTTCCCAGTGACCACTGCTACTTGGAAGCTTGTTCCCAGGACTCTTGATCCTTTGTCTATACTACTTTTTTGGGGGACTAACAACTATCAAGTTCCTGGCTTGGACTAAAGCTCTGGAGTAGCCCAAAAGCTCCAGAGCGTGGCAAAGAGATGAGATTCCAGATGTCCAAGTAACAACACTCCACAGAAACCTCATGCCTGCTCATGCCGCATTCTGCTACCTCCTTACGACTTCACCAGATGGGATGAATCGGCTCTGCAGGCTCACGTGTCCACTGGTATTGTTGTTATTTTTCTCTCCAAAGGTCTCAACAGCTAGCAGATGAGCTGATCTCAAACTTCAGCAAGAAGCAAGCGTGGACACAGCAATCCCATTCTCCCTTCATGTAGGAATCACTTCTGAAACAGCCCAGTGCAACACAAGCAGTTCTAGTGAGATTAAAACCGATCACTGCATTTTGCATGGGGAAAGAAGAGGAATCTCATGGTTGGTACAGTATTGGCTGACACACTTAGCTTTGGAAAGGATTCTGGGATTCTGTTCCCTTATTTTATTTGAATTTAAATAGGAAAAAAAAAAAAAAACCCAAACACATTCCTGAGTTGAGAACTGTTAAGCTTTCCCTGACAGCAAGGTAAAATAAAGCTTCTCCAAGCATAACCAAGTAAAAGGTTGCTATAAAAAAGAAAATAATTTAAGCACATCAAGAGATCTCAAAGCAAATCTGACACTGCTGTGTGAAGAAATGGTTCTCAGTTCTTCACCTTCAACTAACTCCAAAATTCTAAAAACAAAGTCTCTAATTTTTTTGAAAGTTCAAAGAACTCTTGTCACACACAGGTTGATGCAGAATTACTGAGTAATTGTTCACCCCACAATCAATGAAACAGGAAGTTCATGTGTGCTTAGAGATCTCCACAGAAACGGTTTTTAAGATAACGGATGCCTGGAAATTTACTTAAGGGGAGTTTTGTCTTCATCAGTTTTATTTGCTTTTCTCACCAGAGCACTTGGAACACATTTGATCATATGTTTAGAGCTGCCATGGCCTTCACCAAGGTGACATGGTTGTTTGAGTCTGTCTCTCTCAGGCTGCTATCTGCACAGTTACTCTTGTTGGCCAAGACCTTTTGTCGGTGCCTTTCTTCCTGTTGCTTCTTCTTCTCTAGCCGCTGCTGTTCCTTCTTTTGTTTCTTAGATACCTGAAAAGGAAGGATGAAAACACAACATTGAAAACACACGTTTTCTGCTCAGTTGGGGAAAAATAGTACACTGGAAAAGAGACAAGGAGATATCAAACCAGATGCCAGAGAATGTTTATTCCAAACTACTTATCTGGAGTTTATTTTCTGTCACTTTGGGAAGAGTGCCACATGTCACTAACAAATGTTTGTACTGGAGAAGTCACAGCTGTAGCAGCAACATAATTGTAATTCAAAGGAGAAGATAGTTGCCGATTAAGCAATCCCAAGCATTCCCCTAATCGTTAAAGGACGTGTAAATCACTGCCAAACCACCCTTTACAAACCTTTGGGTTTCTGCTAGCTCGGTTCTCTTCATCAGATCTAGCCCGTCCTTTGTTGTTTTCTATTTCACCTTGACGCAAGCTTTGATTTCCAAACATTCTTGAACCAGTTCCATTTTCTTCCCACAGGGTTCTGCTGCTGGAGTTCTGATCTTTGCTCTGGGGATCGTGCTGCTCCTCAGTACCTACCAACAACAGAGGTTTTTCCTCAGACACACGCTACCCAGAAGCTGTCTCAGTGTCAGCCATTTCCTTCTTCCAGACTTTCTGGAAAAGTGGGGTTTGTTTTGTTTTGTTTTTCCCTCAGAAGCTGGATGGAATCTGCCCTCACTAATATCCTTCCTGACCGCAGAAAGGCTGAGGTGGCAGCACAGCCAACAGCAAGCTTCAACCGCTCCTGTCCCCGTTGAACTGCTGTTTACAGCAGTTTACACCTTCTGTGACAAACTCCGTATACTTACTGATTCTTTCCACTTCGTTCGCTTGAAAGATGGCAAATATTGCCGATTCTATATTGTAGTCTTCCACTTCCAGAATCCGGCTTACTAAATCAATGTCCTGTCCACAAGAGAAAGGTAAGACCAAAGAGAGTTCAAATCACTGACATAGAATAACAACCATCTGCGCCACTGAGGCTGTCTGCTTTAATGACCTTTCAATTAGCCTGTATTCCATATCTGAAAAAGGTGAGGGAGGAAAATCTTAAAAACCTGAAGATATCAGGAAAAAGGAGTAACTGTTTCATGCTTGGTCCCTCCTGTTCTCTGCATGTGCACAGTGCAAGCGGCAATCTGCAGGAACCACACAGGCTATCCAGTGACAGCGGCTAAGATTTACAGAGGATCTAGTCATTTGGGATGTTCAACTACAGACACGCTCAAAGGATTTCAAATTTTACAGAATTTGTTTTAAAGCAAGTTTTCTGAGAGGTTGGAAGATAAACCTTCCAGAATTATTAGGTATCCACATGGAATACATATTTCATCTGCATTTAAGGGTTGAGCCTAGGATGAAAACCATCCTGATTTGCAGCTGTGGTATAAAATTGTCCAAGCTGAATGCTTTTTAGAACTTCTCCCAAGGCTACTTTCATGTATCAAGGAGGTTTGAACACTAAGCATAGGCAGGCTACTCAATACTTACTGAACATCCAGTTGCATTACACACTTTTTGTATAGCATTTTCCATTTCAACTTCAATCTCCTCTTCAAAGTCACTCTTCTGCGGCTTCACTTTCTCCTCCTTATTCGTATCATTTTTGCAAAGCGTCTGCAAGAAAAGCAAAGCCCAGCAGATCACACAAGCACATGCAGCAAAAAAAATCATCATGTGCAGTAAAAAAAAAAATCTGACATCATAACAAATGTAATTATTATGGCGCATTTTTCTCAGGAATATCCTGCGTCAAAGCATCTTGGAAACTGTGTAACTTCCATCGTCATTGACACCATTTCCCACAGCTCACACACCACTGAGCAAACTCGCACATACTACAAGATCACGCATACCAATAAAACTATCATTGGCTTTTGAAGTCAGGTATTAATTTATTTACGATGCCACACATTATACAATTCTGTGCAGAGAGCTTTAAGTTCATCACAGCTTATTCCTTAACACAGAGATATGAAGAGTACTGTTGTATCCAGCTGCATTTCCATCTCTTTCCTCCTTTCCCTTTATTTTTGCATTCGGAGTGCACGAGTATGTAATTTAGCTGGGATTGCTTCAAGACATCTACAGCCCACATCACAGCATCAGATTCGGGATTGATTTTCAGCCCAGGAATTTAAACACTTCACAGCCTGCCTCAAGAGAGCATGCAGCACTAGTTACAAGGACCTTAGGGTCTTTTCTATCTCCAGCATGACAGAAGGACCAAACTTTTCTCAATCTCAATGCAAATGAGACAGGAAATCAACGGGTAACGTTCATCTGTTTTATCTGTCACCCACAGCTGACTCAGGTCAGCCTGTCATAACCGACCTCCATCTGAAGATACGCTGGAGCTTCAGAATCGTCATTGATTCTCCTCACACTGTCGTAGTGCTCTCCGTAACGATACGCAATGTGCAGTTCCCTCACGTTGTTTTTGTCTGTGCCCCGAATCTAAATGAAATAAATAAATAGCAAATGAGGATTTGGAATCAACTTTAGAATCATATTTTTCAAAAAATTTTTTTTTTTTGAAGCAATGATGAACACTGTGATCGGAAGCAAAGTACGCAGCTACTGAAGCATCTTTAAACTGGAAGAGTTGGCCTAATAATCCAGATGTGCCTACAGTAACCCCAGAGCTTCTGTCTCAAAGATAATGTTCGAAAACCAGAACACAACATTGGTCAGTCATGTCATCAACAAACAAAACATGTTATGGAAATATTTCAGTGGGAAGCTATTTTCTACACTTTCTACAGAAGCTGTTTTCTGATGATCTTCCCAGATCCAATTTCAGCGACAGCTCCCACTGAGTGTACAACGCCTTTTTCCCCTCAAACATGAGGGGTGGGGAAAAAAAGAGTCTGTTCAAGTTATGACCACAGCGGAAACAGTCACCCAGAGTAAGTTTTGTTCTGCAGTTGGGACAGATGCTGTTTTAACAGTTAGCATTCAAAGTGGATATGTTTTGTTTTTAAAAGAAAGACTAATAGAAGTAAAGCCAAACCAGGAAAATGTATTAACTCCATTCAGGAGCACTGTTAATAACCAAATGTTCCTTTGCTTTGTCAGCACCAAGTACAGCAGTTTCTGTAGAAAATTCCTGCTCCGAGTATTATCTGTACTGATGTGAGAATAATTCTTACCCCAATTGTCAGTGTCTCAAACTGTTAGCTAAAAGCTACACAGCATTCCAGCTCTTGCAAGGAATGCAGAAAGTTACATTGCATTTGCAGATCTGCTTTGCTTACCCGTCAAGTCAGAGTTCAAAGATCTGACAGCTTTCTTGGAGAAGATGTCAGTAAACAAAGGACAAGCAATGCTTGCTTTAGGGCTCCCAAATTTCCCAATCCTTTCACGTCTTTGAATCAGCTTATCCCAACTTACAGAGCATACACCTTATACCTTTCAACCACGTCTGCAGTTTGTGTTGCACGAATGACTTCAGATTTCACAACAGATATTCTCCATTCATCTACTTTACACTTGTTCACCTTTAAGTTCCAACTCAACACTTGGTTATACTTAACATCTGCCTTTTACCCTACCTTTTACCCTATTAAGTTATTCAGCGTGTTGGATCTGAGTAAGACTTATTTTCAACATTTCTCCTCCGCCAGAGCCTAAATAGGTATCTAACAAATCCCAAAGCTCTTGAAAGATTATTCTGAAAATTAGTCAATTTAGCTCTCAGTAATGAAGCCTCTTTTTGCGTGTTTTTTCCACAATACGTTGGAACTGTAAGTAAAAAATAGCTGCAGATAAAAAACTGGCAAAAACACTGAAAAAAAGGTAAGCAGTTATCCAAAAAGCCAATAAAATAACCTATACATGTGAGCTAACTTGAAGCTCCACATTGACAGTCACTATCAAAAAAGGCAAAGGGTGTTTAAAGCCCTAGAAGGTCCGTGCAGAGACGCCCACCTCCAAAGAGCTTTTGATTAGGCCAGAGTTGGAGGTCCTGAACACTTCTGCTCACAGTTTTCCAGCTTACCTGCAGCAGATACAAACAGTTCTCGTAAAATTAAAGGACAATTCACCATCTGCTTTAGAGTTGGGACCAAAGGAGATATTCACATCATCTGCTTTAAGCATCTTACTGATGTGCCTCTCTGGAAATGCTCTCTTTTTCAACATCTAATCTTTCTAAAATATTGCTGGGGCTCCAAAGGAGAGAGAGGGGAAGAAAAATGTATATTGAAGTACAGAAAATTAAGAAAGAGGGTGTTCTGGGTTAGTCGAGTCTAGCAACTCACTAACGTCACCATGTTGTGATCCCCTGCCTACTTTGATGCCCTGATGTATCCTCTGTGCAGGTAGGAGACTCCTTATGTTACAACTATTAACAGCTCACTCTACTTATGGCTCAAGAGCCTAAGACCACCTTTCACTAATGAGACTACACTCAGGCAAAACAGAACCTCGTCACAAACTCTGTATTTACAACTCTGGAAAGGTTAATGAACGGAGTGGGGGGGAGAGTTTAGGGTTTTTTGAGAGGATATACAAAATTACGGGTAAGAGTTGAGCGGACTGAGGTGAGTACCCAGTTCCAAACAGTAACAAAACATGAACAGCTGCCCCACGAACTCTCCTGCAGGGTCATTACCTCTGTACACTCTCGCAGGCCAGCCAGTTGAGTATTCCCACTCATTTCTGTAATTGTCAGGTACACTTTTTTTTTTTTTTTTAATATGTAGGTTAGCTGTCTTACTGCCCACAGCTGCCATATAAATAAGAGTTTAAACTTGTTTGGGCTCAGGAATCCACCCGACACTGTTTCAAATCTATTTAAGACGTCACTGACAGCTTTCATCTGGTCTTTTATCTTTATTGCCCTGTTTAATCTACATACTTCATTGGTTCTGTCTGTAAATTGGGGCCAGAAATGATCCTGACTTGAATACAGGTTCTCACGTGCTCCATAAACAGGCAGAGATTGAGCATGGACCCATTCCAGTGTGGCCTTGCCACAGAAAAACAACAAAGGAGTAGGAGGGACCTGATCATTCACTTGTTCCCATGCCCCGCTGTCAGAGGAAAACATACACACAGTCCTTTCCAGAAGCTGATTAAACACTGCCTTAAGGTTTTAAGACTTCTTCCCTCTTCTGCCCAGTCCAGAACCTCATTTCTCCAACTGTCAGAAACCTTCTCACTCCAAATCCCATGCAGAACTGCAGAACTTTGTTCCAACCCACTGCAGGGACCGCCCTGCTGTACCTTTGCTTCCATATTCCTGAACCTTATGGTACAGGTTTCCTTAAGCCTGGCTCAAATTCCTATCAGAAAAGTCACCTCACGTGTAGCCTGATCTTCAGGAGGGAGAAACATACCAATGAAGCCAGTAGCTCAAAACCAAACTAAAACATGCTGCTCTGTCTCCACATACTTATCTTTCACATAGATATTGTTTTCTTTCATTCCCTCTCCTCCTAGCTGAACTCTGGAGTGTTTTCCTTCAAGGCTGAAAAAGCAAGCACAGCTCTACACCGTGTCCAGCTAACTATGGCTACCCACTACTCTCTTTTAACAGATCATGAAGTTTCAACACTATTTGTATTCATCAGCTAAAAATTAGGCCAAAATAGAGAAGTTTTGTTTCTCACCTGCCACAGCGGAGCATTAAGCTGATGAATAACCACATTCATTTGATTGTTCCTTGCAAAGGCCACAATAGCATCGTTGCCAGCAAAGGTACCAGGCTTTGCCAAATTGGTAACTAAAGGAAAAAACATTCAGAAGAGTTGGAAACCTAGCTTCTGGCAGTGCTTCCAAAAACACTGGAGGGATAGCGAGTAGCAAAATTTCAACACAAGCCCAAGAAATTCTGGCAAGGAAATCCCAGCTGTGAAACAGTGACGGCTGAGGCAAGAATTTGGCAGCGACAGAAGTTAACATGTCTTAAATGACCACAGAAACCTCAAAAAAACCCCCACCGCAGTACACCCTTAGATTAGGCAAGGCTGTCAGCTCTGCGTTAGCTCAGAAGGAAGAGAGCCACATATTAAATGACCAAACCATTTTCATGCATCACCTGCATGGTACTTGGCACATCCTCGAAGCTCTTAGAACAAAGGCTGTGTTGGACTCTGCTTTGGATCTTCCCCTAGGTTACCAATATGAAATATCAAGTGTCCAGGAAAAAAAGAAATCCACTCAACAGCCACCAGTATTCAAGCAGAGCTAGACAATTTTTGCAAGTTCCTTTCGAAAACACCAAATTTTTATTCCTTGCCTTTTTATGCCTCTCTTTCCTTCTCCAAGTTTCTCCTAAATTTAAACAATTTCCAAGACAAACTGAATACAAGTTTAATAGCTCATCTTTCTACAGAAACATAACAGAGAGAAGTGTAAACTCACTGTTTCCAAAGACTAGAGAGGAGCTCGAGCACAGTTCAGGGATGAGGAACTCTTTAGTAAGAAGCTGCTCAAAGGAGATGTCATCGCATTACACAATAACCGTTCCATTAGTGCCCTATGGAGACCATACCGTGTTTCTCAAAGGGCACATCATCCTCCACAAAAGGCTCAAAATCCTCCCGCTGCTTTATCATGTAATCCACCGTTTCCTGGCGATGTCTGAGGTGGTTCCGTGAGTGCCCCTCAAGCTGGTCACCGAGGGCCCGAAACAAACAATTGCTACCAAAAAGAGAAATGCAAGTTAGTGTGTCTGAAAGGTAGCTAACAGCTACAACATTAAATCAATGATCCTGGTGCAGCAGCGGAAAGGCATATGGTGTTAACAGGAAAGGAAAAGAGCTGCACTCTTTCTGCCTGGTGGGTTCAAGAAGGGTATGAATGTGAAGTAGCACCTATTCCTTGTGCTTTAAACGGCTGCTGAAATTAGAAGTGCTGGCAGGAATATTGTCATCAACTCCAGTAAATCAAGGGCCGTAATAGCACTGGGCCAAACTCTCTTAAACCGACACCAAGACAAATGACATAATGGAACAAAGGACAACCCGGAGATCCACGACGCAATGCCTCATCAGACACCCCTAATTCCCCTTTCTCCCAGTGCCTATGGGCCTCCCTACTACTCAGCTGGCCAGTGGAGCCCCCAGCCCCGCTGGGCATCAGGCCGGGGACTAGGAGAGCCCTCAGGCCCAAGTGACACAGACCGCGAGCGGAGCCCCCTGATCCCTGCAGACTACAGCAGGGAAGCCCTCATCTCCACTCGACCCCGAGGGGAAAGCCCGTAGCCCCCAGGAACACAGGCCCCCCACACCACCCGGGGGAGGAGAAAGCCCTCAACCCCCGGGGACAGGAGGCCCATGGAAGTGCCGGCTCCGGGGGTGCCAGGGAGACGCGGCGCGGCGCTCACCCATCGCCCGGCACCTCCCGCAGCTTGAGGCCGAGGGCCCGGA